CAAAGGGAATAAAACAATTAATCCTTATAGGTGTTGGGTATGGGAAAGGTCAGTCTCAAGTTCTGACTTTCAAAGTCAAGTACTGCCCATCTCGGAACACCAAGGGTTTTCCCCAGCCCAGCATCTCCTGAACAATGTGGCATGGACATACTATTGGTATTTTCAGGATGACTATGGGCTGGATCCATGGGACACCAAGAAGTTTGAGACATACATTTAGACCTCAAGGGATTTCTAATCCAAATGGAAAGAAACATCACATACTCATCAGAAATCAATAGAACTTAGGTTTGTTTAAGCAGGTATTGTCATAGTGGTTGTTAAATTATTGAAATACTTCCCTCTGAATGGCCTCCAGGCTCCTGAGGGCCCTCCCCACCTTACTCAGCGTCCCTGGCTCCTCCCCTGGGCTCCAGAGCTCTCCTTCACTCTGGGATCAGCAACGGAAGCAGGAATGCTTTGCACTCCAGGTTCCTCCAGAACCCTGTCCATCACCACCCTGTCCATTGTAATTGGTCAGTGACCATGAAGGTTGTTAAATATTTTTACCATCACCCTGGAGGCAAAGCAATAAACTTTAGCTTCTAAATGAGTAACAGAGATGCCAGGTGTTGAATACACTCAAACGGTGGGGGGCAGGAGCACCATTACAGTGGGGTGGTGGAGGGGAGGTAAATTTTGAGTAATCTGGAATGAATAATGAGAGAAGGGGCAAGACCCTTGATGTGTTCAGTTCATGAAACAGAATTAGAGGACATAAGCACCAGCCAAGGGTGCCCAGTTTAATGACAGAACTGGGAGTAGGGTTTAGGTCTTCCTAATCCCCGAACCCATGAAGTCTCTAGAAAAGAGGGGATAAATTACTTTCTAAAATAAGGATATAGAGGCAGGACAAACAAGGTGTGTTCACAGACTAGGGTGCTTCCTGGGAGTGAGATTTTTATGAAGAAGACTGGCGGGTGACATCCTCGAAAAAGGAAGAAAAGAGTTATTCCATACATGTACTATACATATTATTTCATACGTATGACTACAGTGTTCTTCCTTATACTTTCTCTTTGTCTTATCTCATATTCTGTTGTAGTCTCAGATGTGACTTTTAAAATTTTTTCGTTTGAAAGTTTTCACTTGAAAAGCCAACTCCAATTTGAGAAAGGTGGTTGGGGAAAGAAATCTAAATAGATCTTCAACAACATTTGGTTTTGTCCATAGAAAATTTAGCAGATACCTAAGGAGCAGTCTGCCCAGCATGTTTTTTTTCTGAGAATGTCTCCCTCCCCCATCCCTATAGTTGCCATGGGATCTGCTGTGTTAGAGCAATGTGACTGACTGCATAGCCAAGACTGACTGGGCCAGTGGTGGGTGGTAGAATCAGGCAAGGTCAATGATGTCCTTCCCCAGGATTTTCAAAATTGGGGCTATATGATATAAAACTTGGGGACCATGTGCTTCCATGTCTACCACTTGTAGAAACAGAGGAGCCAGTCCTCCAAAATCAAGAGGAACAAAGCTGTAATGTTAGAAGTCTCGTGGCATTGGACCTCTTCCTTCTGGTTGTTTCTAAAGCCCAGACATGTCCTTTTGTCAGGTCAGAAGAGTAGACTGGGAATCTGCTAATGCTTTCTTCATTTCGTAAGTTAGTGTGAGCTTGTTTCTACACTTTTTACCAAACAAAACCTACTCCACTGTGAGAAAATATACCTATTTGTTTTCTCTAGGCAAATCCTCACAACCTTGAAATCTGAAGGAAGGATTATTGGAGTAGAAGGAAAACAAGTTTGGGGCAAGGAAAAATTTGGATGCAATTGACTGGATAGTTCCATTCCTGAGAATAAATCCTAAGGAAATATTCAAACTAGTGTGCAAAGATAGACAGACAGAGAAATAGAGACAGAGAGACATACCCAGAGAGAAGATCATAAAAGCATTGTGTATAATACTGAAAAATGATGAACAACCTATATGTCCACAGAAAAGACACTGGTTAAATAAATAAGGATATATCTATATGGTTAAAATGGAAAGACATCCACATTACGCTGTTAAAAGGGAAAAGAGAGTTCTATGTAGAAAAAGACCAAAAAGAGTGAAGAAAACAAACCCCAAAGAAAAATGCAATATGTATATGTATAGAAAAATGTCCAGAAAGACAATCAAAATGTTCACAGTGCTTCCTGTGGAATGTGATTACGAACATTCTATATTACTTTTTGTGATTTTTCTCAATCTTACTTTCTTACAATCACCATGTATTATGTTCACAAGTATACAAAACAATAAAGCCACAAAAGTTGTGGTGCAAATTAAGAATCCTACTCTTGGTCTCAGTGTAGTGATCTGCCTTCCCCGGAGACCTACTGAACAAGAACAGTGGAGTACCCAAGCGAGAGTGGCGTCAGTTTTGATCAGAAGCAAAGCAAGATGGCAAGGGCAAATCAGACAGGAGGAGACAGAGCTTGGGTTAGCTGGAGCTAACCACCCATGCAGGGCATTTATGCCTTTTCTCCTCAGCCAAGTGCTCAGCTTCTTTCTGCTTTAGAAAGAACTCTCACACCTGTGCTGAGACTTGAACTCAAAGTGAATGTTCATAGCCCATGAGCATCCCCTCTGGCCAACTGTTAAAATCGAGTTATGATTTAACTACAAGAGAACATGCCAGAGACACAGTTTTTACTTAGAGCTGTCAGGGACTGCAAGGAGTCTGAGATTTGACTCTACCTGTGAATGAACCAGGTAGCCTGCAACAAATTCCTGGATTCTAGCAGAAGACATGAGACCCCTGAGTCAGAAGAAGAGCAGGTTTTTCTCCTAGGACAGCTGATATCCAGGGGAACATCATTTTCTTTTTTTTTAATTAAAGATTTTATTTATTTATTTGAGAGAGAGATCTGGAGAGAGAGCAAACACAAGCGGGTGAGGGCCAGAGGGAGAAGCGGACTCCCTGCTGAGCAGGGAGCCTGATTCGGGGCTTGATCCCAGCACTCCAGGATCATGACATGAGCCTAAGGGAGATGCTTAACCAACTGAGCCACCCAGGCACCCCTGGGATCATCATTTTCTTCTGCCAGTTCCCTGAGCCCCAGTTTCCACAGGATAATGTGCAGAGAGCCAGGTGATGCCTGCACATTGGCATTGCAGGAGAGGAATTTCAACTTAGAAAACCTGAATCTTTTATTTTCTTTTCCTTTTGTTTTGCTTCAAGTTTTTATTTAAATTCTAGTTAGTTAACATATAGCGTGATATTGGTTTCAGGAGTCTGAATCTTTTATAATAGGCTGTCAGCATCCTGTTCTCTGCCCTGGAGGCAGACATTATCTTTATTTTACTGGACAAATCTTCCTTTTGTTTGGGAACGAGACACTATCTCTATCTTTGAAGTGATTTCAGAACAAAATCTGTGAATGCCTCTGTTTGCAAAACATGCAGAAATGGGAGCAACCTATGGAAAAACTGTCTTCCAAGAGCAGTCTGTTAACTTTTTACCTTTTTCACACATAAAAGAGGAGCAAACCCAAGGGCCAGAATTCAAGTGTGTTCATTTCTTTGAGTTGATAGAGTTATCAAAGTCGGCTACGGGATTATTGCTGGGTGAACCCAAGAGGAGAAAGATGGTTTCCTCCTAATTCAATAGGTCAGTTTCTAAGAAGAAATGTCTAGCAGCCCTTAGTGGAACTCTCATTCAGAATATACAAAGCAGGTGCTGTACATCTTTCTAAACACCACCGAACAAACATACACAATCTTAGGGTCACTTTGTAAGTCTCATAAATGTCCAGGATATTTTTTGACCAAAATACAGACATATCTCGTTTTATTGCTCTTTGCTTTATTGCGTTTTGCAGGTATTGCTTCCCCCACACACACACAATTTGAAGGTTTGTGGCAACTCTGTGTTGAGTAGGTCTATCTATTGGGTCCATTTTCCCAACAGCATTTGCTCACTGCATGTTTCCCTGTCACATTTTGGTAATTCTTGCAATATTTCAAGCTTTTCTGTTATTATTACATTTGTTGTGGTGATCTGTGATCAGCGATTATGACCCACTGAAAGCTCAGATGATGTGTAGCATTTTTTTAGCCACAAAGTATTTTTTAATTAAGTATGTACATTGTTTCTCAGACATAATGCTATTGCACATTTACTAGACTACCGTAGTGTGTGAACGTAGCTTTTCTATGCACTGGGAAACCAAAAAATTCATTTAACTCGCCTTATTGCAATATTCACTTTATTGCCATGGCCTGGAACCAAATCCGCAATATCTCTGAGGTACACCTAAATAAAGAGATATTTTAGAAATCTTAAAGATGAACATGGGGTGGGTGTTGATTGAGAAGGGGCACAGGGAAACTTTCTGCGATTACAGAAGTGTTCTATAGTTTGATAGGGGTGTGGATTATCCAGGTGTGTCATTGGTCAAAACTCCATCATTCTACCTTTAAGATCAGATTGGTACCTTTCACTCTATGTAAATTACACCTCAATTAAGAAAACACTGTCAACTCTCACTCACTCAGGGGCTCATGAACTTAACACCGGCAATCCAGATCTCTTGCTTTACGTGCATATATTTTTCCTCTACATTCTATAAACTCACTACATACCTCTCCATCACGTTGCAGATACTAATACCTCTGCTGGATAGAATACAATGGCAGGTACTGATGGACAAACTTAACTTAGTTAAACCAGTTGTTTCTTTAAAAACCCCGTTTAGTACACTTCCTGGCATCCAGCAAACACTCACTCTGTGTTTCCCGAAATGAACGACTTGAAAGTTAAGAGTAGAATCAGTGGATGGAGATTGCACACACGATTATGGAACCATAGGTCAAGCATGTTTGGGCTTTATTAGTATATTTTCATTACCTACTGTGTTTGTAAAGCCGTTTTGTAGATAACCCAAAATGCCGAAGGGAAGGGAATAGGAGCTCTGTGTCTCATTTTCGATCAGGTAAAATGTTGGCCCTACATGGCAGTGAGAGCCCCTCCTCCTTACCTTTGCTGCATCCTTTGTTCTAATTATCCAGAGGGGAGGAGGGAAGATCAGCAAAGAGCAGAGCGATGGACACTGAAGGTCAGGCTCACAGATACACACACAAAGAAGCACTTGTGAATGGCATTCTTGGGGTAATGAAGTAAGCAGCCAGCACACCCTTCCTCCTTTCTTCTTATTCTAGACTCTCAGTCATAACAGGCCCTCCCTCCTGGACATGTCTCTGATGTGGGGGTTGGAGGAAAAAGATGGTGTCACCAGAAACACATGTAACTCAAGTGTCCCTAGGATGTCAGAGCTCCTAGGTTCAAAATAGGTTCCGTTAAGTTTTGCTCCCTGAAAACTCTGACCTGCTTAAGCAGGAATGCCCAACCTCACAGGGTTTTATATGATACTCCTCCCTCTTGCTCACCACATACCCCTGGGAGCCCCTTATGAGCCAGCCTGTCTGCTCCGCCCACCTCCCAGGCTGGCATCTTGCGGGGTCATCCCCACCCACCACACCCTGACCATCATCAGATGACTGATGACCCTGTCAACCCTTTGACGTCCTCCTGTCCTTATAGCTGATCACCTCTGAGCAGCCGGAACAGTCCCAGAGTGTGTACAAAAGAGGCAAGAAGGGTTCCCCTCCCCACTTCTGGATGTTTCCAAAGCATACAGTCTTGCATGAAAACAGTCCCTTCAGCTTCTGTGCCCTCTCCTCAAGTCCCCAAACCAGGCCAGGTGCCATGGTAAGGAGCAGATGCCATGCTTCTCCCCAGGTGTCCTGGTCTCACACAAATCATATAACCACACAGCCCCACTCTCCTCTCTATGTCCCTCCCTCTCCCACCGAAAGCCATTTGGTATATCAATCATACAAATTCCCAAAGGATGCAACAAATAACCCAACTAAATCTCAAGCAAGCACTTCGAGGACCCCTGCTGTCCCTGGGGCTCCTGGCCATTTCCTAACAGCAGAACAGGAGGGAGCTCTCTGCTCTCATGAGAGAAAAGGGGTTCCTAATTTGCTTAGCTGGAGGGTAAATGAAGAGAACATGACGTCAGAGAGTTTTGAATGCTGCCTCTTCCCAGATGCCGTCCCCAAACGTTCCAAATTACGATTTGTTGAAATTCAAAAGGTCTTGAAGTCATTTGAGGGCGAGGAGTTTCCAACGTTACTATACATTTCACAACAACAATGAGAATGCGTAGAACTCATGCTCTGCTCTTACACGAAGTGGAGTCTCATCATCCCCATCTTACAGACAAGTAATTGAGGTCCAGGGAGGTTAGGTGAGTGAATCAGGGCATACGATGAAAAAATGTCGAATTCAGGTTTGAGCACAGGCAATCTGAAAGACAACCTACGTTTTTGGCTATTTTATTGCCCTGTCTCACAGAAGGAGCCAAGTTCCAGGGAGCCTGAGGCCCAGAGTGTAGGAGGATCAGGATGAGCAAGGCTCCGAAGCTCACAGTCATCTGAGGCCCGCCTGCATACACCCCCTCACACAGAAGAGAGAAGATCACACGGGAAAGCATGGGTGGGGCATTCCCTGGGACCCTAGGACACTGACCTTCTCAGAAGAATAAAAAGGTTTAAGTCTGTCCAGTCCAACCTCCACCTGAAAATCTAGCAGACAACTGGACAAGCGTGCTTCATTGGATTTAAGGCTCATGTGGTTTTGGCTCTTAAAAGAACTTGGAAGGAGAAGAGCTTCACTCAGACTCCTGGGAAGAGCTATGCTCAGGGGACAGTGACTAAGAACATGCCCAACGCAGCACATGTTTCTACAGCGTGGTGATGCATCATTACGTCTTTCCACTCAAGAGTGAGTCATTTGTGACTGGCAGTGGGGAGGAAGGAACAGCAAGCAGGGGAAGGAACATGAACCAGTGGCATCCGATGGCTTCTATTCGTGCAAACACCATTTCTCCCAGTAGGGAAATCAAAGAACGTTTATAAAACTAATTTGTTCTCTCCTTTCCTTCCGAGATACTCCGCAGTTTAAGAAGGCAAAGGGCATTTCAAGAAGAGGGAACACTCCGTACAGAGCCTTGGATTCAGGAATGTTGAGCGAGGCCACATTGGAAGCATGGTGGGAGTCTGGTCAGGTTGGTGGAGCCTGATGGGTATGAACCCAGAACGGGAGGCAAGGCTGCTTGCTTGACCAATATGTGTATAAGATGTCTTACCCATTTCCGAGTAGGAAATGGATCTTCCAGACTCTGTCCTGACCAAATGAATGCTGTTCATTAATGGAATCTCTCCAATTCAACTGTATTTTTTTTTTAAGATTTTATTTATTTATTTATTTGTTTATTTGACAGAGAGAGAATGCACGAGCCAGGGGAGGGACAGAGAAGCAGACTCCCTGCTGAGCAAGGAGCCCAACTCGGGACTCGATCCCAGGACCTCGGGATCATGACCTCAGCTGAAGGCAGATGCTTCACCGACTGAGCCACCCAGGCGTCCTCCTCTATTTTACATAATAGTCATATATTGTGCCCCCAAGTTCCCATCCTTTGAAAAGTTTCTATCTCCTCAAAGTCCTAAAAATCCTGAGGTGAAACGATTAAACTGACCAATAACAAATCAATTTTAGGCAGAACTACAAAGGCATATGTTATGAACTGTACTATTTCCCACCCCCCGACCAAGTTCTTATGTGGGGAGTCCTAACCCCCAGTACCTCAGAACGTGACTGTATTTAGAAACGGATTCTTTAAAGAAGTAACTGAGTCAAAAAGAAGTCAGTAGGGTGGGCCTCGTCCCATAGGACTGGTGTTCCTTATATAGGGAGGAGATTGGGCCACAGACACAGAGGGAAGACCACGTGAGGACCCAGGGAGAAGGCTGCATCTGCAAGCCCAGGAGCCCAGCCTCGTTAATAATGGAGTTGATAGAGGAAGGTGGCCAGGTGCCCTCGTCCCTATGTTCTCTCGTCAAAAATAATCACGAGGCTGCAGAAGGAGGTGGGAAAGAAGCCCAAGAAGACCCCATGGGCAGCAAGGAGTCCTCTGTGAGACAACAGGACACGGTTGGATGCGGGGCTGAGAGGCCTTTGTGGGGTCACTGCTGGTCTCGCCCCACAGGCCCTGCCACGAGCGTCGTATATTTCGAGGGGAAGAGGCACTGGGTCCCTGGAAGGACCATCCTTCACGTCCAGAAAGCCCCAGCGAAGCCCGGCAGAACAGCACTTAGCCTGGGGATGGTGGGCTTCTTGCGCATCCCTTGGCCACCATGGCGTGGCCCCCTGCCCCCATCTAAAGCAGACGCTAATGCAGGGAAGAAGCCCTGTGGGTCAGAAGGCTCTGGAGGGTTAAGGCTTGTTCTGGAGGTCACTCCATTTAACCCTTCCCTCTGCCTTTCTCTTCGCTTCTCATGGAAGCCCACCTAATGGTGATTCTTTTCTCAAACGCATCCTGCCTTTTGGGTTTGGAGGTGCCGGCCCCGAAGCCGGCGGTGGCAATGGGATTAATGGGGCCAGGAGGCTTTCGACCCCCAACCTCTGTGGGCTTTTCTGTGGGCTTTCTCGCTCTCTCCCAGCAAGCCCCGTGTCTGTGGGACGGACCGCGTCATTAACATGCATGCATTTGAAAAGAGCAGATGAAAGCCACTTCTCTGAGCCAGCCTAATTGGACAGAATTGCAGTGGCGAGGTAAGGGGTGGGCCTCATCAGTGAGAGGGGGGCCGAGCACAGAAGGGAGGGGCGTTCTAGAAGGACACTGGCTCTTTTTGATGAAAACGTGGGCCTCCCTACAGTCATTCCTCTTCAGCTGCTGCCTCGCAGATGGACCCTTTAATTGAATTTTCCTACGGGCCTGGGGGAGGGAGCCATTTCAGGCCCAGAGAGCAATTGAAGTGAATCGAATAGCTTCAGTTTCTTTTATCAGGAGCCGAAGGGGCAGGTGGGGTGTTTGTTGGGCTTGGTGCTTCTGCCCTCTGCCTACCATCCTCTTCTCTTCAATTCACCTGATTTCCACCCCCCCTTTTAAAAATCCCCACTCTACGTTCTGGCCTTCGCCACCAGGGTAAACTTGGAGGAAGGTGAGTTAGACACACAGGGGTTTGTATGATACCACCGGATTCAGCAACACTTGCCTAGGCCTATGTTCTGCTCTGAAGGAGACCGTGACAAGTTCCATGTGTGCCTTCTGAGAACATAGCCTCGATCGGCGGGGAATGCTCTTAAAAGAAGAGCAAAAAGTAAATCAAAACACAGACCAGATCAACAAAGCCACTTGAAGAATAACGAAAGCCAGCATGAAGTTCCCAACCGAATAGGTGAGAGCCGGAAATGTGTGAGCAGGGCGACCGGAAGGTGTCCCTGGAGGTCAGAGGCCTTGTGGGACGTTTAATTTGGACAATAGCCTGTAGATTGGCTGGTGGAAAAAAAAAAAAATGCACGTCTGGAAGGCAGTGCACCTCTCTGCCCAGGGAACACTCAGAAGAAAAGAAGAAAAAGAAGCCCCAGTTCTCCTGCCCTTGGGAAAATAGGGAGCTGTGTCTGATCAGGATTCTGCTGGATGGGCCTCAGGTATTAGAGTTTCAAGAGTGATTCTCAGCAATGCCGTGAGGAAGCCTGGCTATCTTCCCATCCACACCTTTGGTCATCTGTACAGACCTTCCTGAGGTGGGGAATTCGGCGGTGGAGAGGGAAAGAAAGTGTATTATAACAACAATCTTGCATTGGTTCGGTCGTTCCTCAGTGTTTGCTAAGTCTGCCGACCCTATTTCTGACTGTTTGTTAAAGTCCAGAGATACGGAGTCAAATATCACATGGCCCTTGAGGCCTGGGCAGCGGGGAGGTGCATTCTAAACATTCTAAACAAAGGGGAAGGCTCTAAGTTCTTCATCTTGGCCCTTCATGGCGGCCACATGAAGGAGGTAAGGAGGCCCTCCTCGGCATAGTGGTCATTCTCTGATGCTCAGGGGGTGGTGACTGAAGCTGTTGGGGGAGATGACCTGGAGAAAAGAGACTAGTGCTGTCTTTTGAGAGAGGGTGGTTTGGATGGAAAGAGAGAGAAGGCTACTCTGGGAAGCTCAATACCAGCAAAGACAGAGGGACAGTGAGAATGGACGTGGGGAGAGCAGACTGCCTACGTGGGCAGAAGGATTGTGTCCATAAGGAATGAGCGGATGTTTAGGCAGATGAAGTAGAAGCATGGAGGAAGATCCTCACCCGCATGAGGAATTTAGCTACTCCTTAAGAAAGAAAAAAGAAAAAAGAAAACAAAAGCAAATACATAACTTTTATCAAGTTCCCACTTTCGTTTTGATTATTTATCCTTGTCAACATTGCCTTCGCGGTCATCATGGAATCCTTATGTAATGATCACGAAGTAGTCACCATTCTCCATGGTAGGGGGGAAAAATCAAGGTTCCAACAGTATGTGGGGCGCGTCTAGGGTGGCACGGTGTGTGGATGGAGCTGAGAGTCACAGACCATCTTCTGTGGCACAGTTGCCTCCCGGGACAGGTAGCAGAACAGGGTCACGGCTCACATCCTCCTGAACACTCCCTCAGGCAATCTAGGAATTTTTCTTTCAAGCCTCAAGACCTGTCTCAGCAAAGGCTGACTCAAGTTCCCTGCTGAGAACTCCCCAGGGGGCCCTGGAGAGGCCATCCCAACCCATGATACCAACCACACTGTGGCACGCAAGTGCCTGGGTACGTGGGCACCAGGAGGAAGGTGGGCAAAGCCTTCCAGACAGCCTTTGGGTCACTATTTTAACTAACAGGCCTCAGCTCAGGCAAACCTGGAAGAACAGCCTGTCCTCATCTCCTCCTAACTAGGGGTTCCATGTAAGTGTCTATCATGCCACCTGCTGGGTTAGGCACTTTACATTCATTATTTCAGTTAACTTCTCACACCAACCCTTGAGGGTGAGAGTGATCCCTCTTGTCTGGCACGTGAGGAAATGGCAGCTCTGAGAAGGGGTTGAGCTAAGCGTCAAAAGCCAGTTTGGTTCCCACCCCTCGCCAGTGAGTCTCTTCCAGCCACCATGCCCGCCTGAGTCTTAGGGTTCAGACTCAGTAAATGTCTTTCTCGAGATCAGCCCATTCCCCTCCTACCCCCCCCTCCACCGGCGTCCCCCTGTTAGTCACATACCTTGCCTCCTCTATTTAAAGAACCTTCAGCGAAGGCAAGGATTCATGAGGAGTGCATGTGCTAATGGGAGAAGCAGCTTCGTTTGGCCAGATTCTGGTGTGTGTGGGCTCCCAGGGATCCAGTTCCTCCTTCACCCCCAGGGACCACCCACCCAGGATCACAGACTCAGCCCTCATGTGGCAACGCTTGGAAACAGAGGACTGATGATAAAGTAAGCTACCATTTGTTGCCAGCCGCTGTGCCCAGAACTTCACATGTAGGGGGGGACAAGATTTCAAAGCAGTTTCTCAACCTCGGCACTACGGCCATTTTGTGCCAGATCATTCGTTCTTGTGGGGCGGTCCTGTGCATTGTAAGAGGACCTCTGGCCTCTACCCATGGGACGCCAGTAGCATCCCTCACATTTATGACAACCAAAAATGTCTCCAGATGTTGCCAAGTGTCCCCTGGGTGAAAAAATTGCCCCCAGTTGAGGAGCACCGTTTCAAAGTGTAAACAGACGTGCCTCTAAATTGATAGCATGGGACCACGTGCCTCTAGTTCAGACTAGCATGGAGTCTGAAGGCACGCCCTGTCGGCTTTGACTCAGCTCATCCCGAGCTGTTCTGGTCATCTGCCTGGAATTCTGGAGGACAGGGTCACACCTGCAAGGTGACCCTCCATAAAGCCAATGCATAACAATATGAGCCCCACTAACGAAGCACCCAAAACCAGAATCAATAGCTCCCAAACCCCTGGGCCTCGGGTTCTCTGGGCTGATTTGCTTGGGAACAGCTGCTAGTAGACAGAAAACCCTGGAAGAACTCTTTGTCAAAGGTTGCCTGGCCACGAATGGGATGTGCGGTGTTGCAAAGTGATTCAACGTCTCTACGTTCAGTTTTCTTGTCTGTGAAGTCAGGATGGGTTCTCAGCAGTGCTAGACAGAATGCTAAACATGCCGCTCCCACTCCTGCGTGGGCACATAGTAGTCTCACTATGTCTAAATTGCCTTCGCCCTCACTTTTATCTCACAAGACAAAGATAGGATTTTATGTGGAGTAAAACCGGTGAGGGGCGTACCACGGGTTCCATCAAAGAGAGCCCGTGTTATGAATGGGTGGTTGTATTTCCTTCCAAGCATGACGTTCAGGCTTGGCATAATCCAGCTCCTTTGTGAATCTCCAAGTAATCTCTCTTTGACCGTGTGCACAGACCTGTTGGATCAAAACGGCCGGCGGAGCCTTCCCGAGAAAAGGTGTGGGCCCCTCTGCAGGTGTCCGCTGTCCGATAAGCTTGTCAGCAGAGGCTTTTCTGTGCCTGGCTCGTCTGTCAGAAGTACAGGGGTGCCTGGGCTCAGCTTACAGTACTGAGTCAGGGCTATGATTGCCAGGACGGACGAGTTTCACCCAGGGATGGAAGCTTTTATCACCCTGAGTAACAACCTACAGAGGCCTGGAGCCCACAGAGGTGGATGAATAGGTTGCTCTCAGCCCTGCATCTGAAAACCAAGAGCCAATGCTCCCAAAGAGACTGAATTGCTGGATTCGCTGCAGAACCAGGTCGGGGGAGCTCTTGGTGAAGCTGCTGGTCATGGAGTGAAAAGGACCAGGGAGGTCGCTGGTAGCTCCGCAGTAGGCTCTCGTGTCTTCAAAGGGATGACTGAAGAAAGCCTCGCTCACAGCAGCGCTGAAAATCCAGGCTTGGACGGCCTCTGTTCTTCTAGTCATCTTGGTCAGGCTTGCATTTCCCTGAATATCTTCAGAGACAGAGAGACGGAGAGGGAGGGAAAGAGAGAAGGAATGGAATAAGGGAAGAGGATGCCCAAACCTGAAAATCCTAATATTTGCAAGTCGAGGAATCGTTTTGATGGAAAAAGAAGGTAAATTTTCTGGGCAAAATGGAATTTGAGGGGTGATTCAGATTTCACTTATCCCCTTCCTTGTTCTCTCTTCAAGCCAGCGAGGCCCTCTGGAAATGGCTAGAAAGTGTTCTGCATGTAGCAGCTTGCTTCTGCCGTGGTCCGGGGGGGCAGAGCTGTTCAAGCATTCTCCCCAAGAGCCTCGGAGCAAGAACCTCAGAACCAGCCTGCCGTCCCCAGCTGGGGCTTGGGGGCCTTGCTCTGTGAAGCTTGTGAAAATTGCATAATTTGAACATAGACTCAGCTAGGATAATGAGGACAAACTTCAGATAAGCATGTGACAAAACCACTCATACCACAGAATAATACCTCCTGGGACAGTGGATGGTGAAGTACATCAAAATGCAAGAGTGGAAAATAAAAACTTTGGTGCTCCCCAAGCAAACAATGAAGCTCTCCAGAACTCAGCTGAGTATCATGTAACGATAAAGAGCACAGACTTCAGTGTCAGCCCTGGTTTCGAATCCTAGCTAGCTCATGAGCTGTGCAAGAGCTCCATCAGGTTCTTCCCCGTTCTGGTCCTCCATCTCTGCATCGGTCAAATGGTATCTGTGGTAGCTTCCTAGGGCTGCTGTAAGAAGCTACCACAAATCTGGTAGCTTAGAACCACAGAAAGGTATTCTCTCAAAGTTCTGGAGGCTAGAAATCTAAGATCAAGGCATCAGCAGGCCATGCTCCCTCTGAGGCTCTAGGGGAAGATCCTCCCTTGTCTTCCAACTTCTGGTGTTTGCCAGAAATCCTTGGTGTTCCTTGGCTCATAGATGCATTACTCCAGCTTCTACCTCTGTCCTCATGTGGCATTCTCCCTGTGTTTGTATCCTCATCTCCTCTTCTAATAAGGACACCAGCCATTGGATTTAGGGCCTGCTCGAATCCAGTATGATCTCATCTTAACGAATTACCTCTGCAAAGACCCTCTTTCCAAATGAGGTCCCATTCACAGATACTTGGGATTAGGACTCCACCATATCTTTTTGGGAGACAAAATTCAATCCACAACAGTGCCCCATGAGTCTGTTGGGGGGATTAAATGGGAAAATGGGAGAAGAGCTTCGACCAGCACCTGGCACAGAGTAACACAAACTATCAATAACATAATTTCAAAACTTTACAACCAGCTAATGATGGTGGATATTATTGTTCTTCTTTGATGGAAGAGAAAACCTGAAATGGAGGTTAGGGGAATAGGCCTAAAGTCATAGCTTCAAGTTAGTGGCGGAGTCAGAGTGAGTGTATTTCCTCCTTTAGTCCTCTGCTTGGTTTTCTATCCTAATCTAGTTCCTTTTATCCTTATCCTTTTCTATCCTAATTTAGTTCCTTTTATCCTTATAGGTTCTTTCCTTGTAAGACTCACTCTCCAACCCTTGGAGTTTTCTACTTGACCCCTCAAAGTTGATTCACTACTTTAGAACCCCAAATTAAAAAGCACTCAGCTAGCATGGTAGTGATTCCCGCATTCAGCAGAGAGGTTTTAAGCCCTTAACTGTGCTAAGTACAATACTAGATTTAAATGCCAAGTATCGTGCTTAAGTTTAGGACACCAAAGTAGATTGTGACATTGACGTTCCTTTATGTCAAGAGTTTGAAGATGATGTATCTCCAGAATTCGCCATTTATAAACAAATTTACAACATGGCCAGATACTGTTCTAAGTGCTTTAACAAATATTAATGCATGTGATCCCCCTAATAACTGTGTGCAGGAGGTACTGGTTTCTTCCCACTTTACAGATTAGAATACTAAGGCATAGAAAGGCTGAGATCATAGAGGTGGAATGTGCCAGAATGTTCCAGAACTGGGACTTGACCTGGGTAGTCTGCCTTACGGACCCAGAATCTGTGCTTTTATGTGGTGTATCCCACATGGAGTGGATCCCTTGGACATTAAGGTTATTTTTAATATTTTAGCATTAGAGACAATGCTACAATAAACATTCTTAAGCCAAATCTTTGTGCACATCTTGAACTATTTCTTTGTAGGAGATTCTCGCTGTGCCCAAGAGTAGGCATGTTATTAAGGCCTTGGTACATAACATCAAATTGCAAGAAGGAGAGGAGTTCTCAGGAAGTGAAAATGTGATAAGCAAAAGCATGAAATGGAAAAGCATGGGGGTATATCTGGAAAATAGCAAACCCTCCAATCTGAATGGATTGGAAAGTGCCTGAAGATGGGAAATTGAAGAGCTGCCTCTAAAGTGGTCTGGAGCCAGCTTGTGGAGGGCTTTGAATACCACAGTACAGAATTTGGATTTTGTCAGCAGCACTCAGAAACCAGCAAACGTTTTTGAAATGGGGAGTGAAATGATCAGATTCTGTCTCAAATCATCCCAAGGAAAATTTCCTCTGTCTCCTGAAAGAGAAGTCTTTCATCACAATTGCTTTAGTGCAGATGGATTGGGGCAGGGGTGGGGTGGGGGTGGCGGGCAGTGTATATTTTACTTATTTTTTTTAACACGGTGCATTCTTGAAATCATCTACTTTAACATCCAGGAAAATTAGGGTGTAATAAAATATATTAATGATACACAATAATTATAATTATATATTATATTTTATATTTATATAATGTAATAAAATAATAAAATATATAATGTAATGTTATATATTATATAAAATAGAATGTGTTAATGCATGATTATGTATTATGATATGTTAATATCATATCATAACATAAAAAATAACGTAAAGGATAACCACTCATCTGACTCTGGAGTTGATCATCCCGACGCTTTTTTTTTATTACTATTTACTAAGCATGTAAGTTATATGAGCAATAGATAATGAGCAACAGGTAGAGAATTGCCTGTTTTTTTTATTTTTTGCAAATTGTCTATTTTAAAATTTTGTATAAATGGAATTACACTGCATGCATTTTACTGTAATTTGATTCTTCATTCACTGTGAGGTTTTTTGTATTCGTCCTTATCAATATAAGTGGTTCTAGGTCATCTATTTATGTTACTGTTGTAGAGCATTATATTGCAGGGATATACCCGATTCATTTTTTTCCCTTCTTGACAAACATTTAGATTTTACATTAAAAAAAAAAAAAATTTTTTTTTGTTTTCCAAACAACACAGTCCTGACATTCTTCATGCCTTCTCACGTACCTTGCCAAGCGGGAAGCCTTTCTCAATCAGGGTTCCTCCTCTGAACCACAGAACACAGAAGATAATTGCAATGACTATTTTCTCAAGTTCCCACGGATGGTATGTAACTAGCGCCATTCTAGATGCATTAAATGAGAAGTTAATTCATTTCACATAATGATGCCTCAGGACATTAGGGCTTAATTCTCTGCATAAATGGTTGAAGACTGCTGGGATCTATCTTAGGAGTGGAATTGCTGCTGGGTTCGTACAATTTCAATTTCACTTGATGGTGCCAAATTGCTCTTCAAAGTGGTTGTACCAATTTATACTCACACCAACAATGTAAGGGATCCGCTGCTCCATGCTGCCTCCTACAAATCGTACAGTTGGGTTTGTTTTTCTTTTTTTATGTTTTCACGCTGAAGGGAGCACAATAGTATCTCAGTGTTTCAAACTTGCATTTCCATGATCACTTGAAGGAAAAGCTTTCTTTTTTTCATATTTTCTGGACTATTTGGGTTTTTCCCTTTGTGGATTTCCTGTCACCATCCTTGGTCTACCCATTTCTAAGAGATTGTCTTTTTTCTGTCTATTTGTAGGCACTCTTTACATATTCTGATAGTAATCCTTTGCTGAGGGGCACCTGGGTGGCTCAGTCGTTATGCGTCTGCCTTCCACTCAGGTCGTGATCCCAGAGTCCTGGGATTGAGCCCTGCATGGGGCTTTCTGCTCAGCGGGAGGCCTGCTTCTCCCTCTCTCACTCCCCCTACTTGTGTTTCCTCTCTCGCTGTCTCTCTCTGTCAAATAAATGAATAAAATCTTTTTTTTTAAAAAAGTAATCCTCTGCTGGTGATATGCATTGTGGCAAGTATTAATTAGGGTAATCCTTTATGGTGAATTTAAGAGGTTCTGAGTCCTGTTTTAAGGTTAATGGCGGGGGGGAGGGGCGGGAAAAGGTTTCCCAGAGGGATGGCCAATATGTGAGTTACAATTCTTTCATTCATTAGGTAAATATCACCAGTCTTCTATGGATTAGGCTCATGGTGGGGGGTGGGGGGTGGAGGGAAGGTCTGAGGAGGAAATAAACAAGACAGATCTCTGCCTTTCAGGGATTTGCAATCTTGAGGAAGAAACAGACAAGTAAACATTTCAATTCTATTACAACCCCATCAGCACCATCATGGTTAGCCAAATCGCCTTACCTATCTTACCATCAGTGATGCCACTTTAGGGGGAAAAGGGTAAAATGTTTCTGCTGGTCAGTATCGCCTGATTGTGTGAAGAAGTGCCTTGGAGAAAGCGTCTCTCCTGGGTAGCAGGTCCCGTTTACCGGTGGGGCGCAGCGTGGTCCGTTCAGGGGTGTGGCCGGTTCAGGGGTGTGGCGGTCCGCGGCATCCTCCAGGGCTAACACACCTGGCAGGACCAAAGACCTCCTTAAAATTACATTCTCTTAAGTACCTCTGTGTTCTTTGTTCCCTCACACCTCTGTAAACAAGGCTTTTTGCTCCTGTTCCTATCAAGCTGCTCCCTGCAAGTGTGTAGAAAAAATGTCACAACAGCCCTTGTCAGGAACTGCAACGGAGCAAGCCATGACAGCTGGTGGCACGAGGAGCCCGTGCATCTGCTTTTCTCTCTCTGCCAGGCCTCCCTGAATAATGTGAGGTCTCGTGTACACAAGAATAATGCTATTGATCTGCCAAGAGTGGGCCCCAAGCTCTGCATGTTTTTTAAATAGCTGGGGGTTGCATGGACCCTCGCTCACTCCTGCACGGTCACCTCATTCTTCCTGGGATCCGGGGAGCACATTTGCACTTGGTTCTAAGTGCAAAGAGCCACAGAGTCCTTATCAGAACGGGGGTTTCGGGGGCTGCCCTGTCATGTTATTACCTGGGTGGCTATTAAACCTTTCTGAATCTCTTTCCTCCCCAGTAAAACGGGAAGTCATTAAACCTTTCTGAATCTCTTTCCTCCCCGGTAAAACGGGAAGACAATGCCCGCCCTGTTTTGGTCTATACGTATAAAATTACTTTTGAGGTTGATCTGTGAACTCTATCGTGCGAAGCAAATAGGAGGAAATAAAATTATTTGCAAAGAGAGAGCACCACTGAGCTTGACTGTGGAAGGCACAGTTCTTAAGGAGTCCATTAAGTGCATCTTGTAGTTTCTGAGCCCTCATCTTTGCAGCCAAACCCAAATGGGGCACAAACTCTTTTCCTTGGACAACTGATGCACTCAACCCTGATGGGAGGAATCTAGGAAAACAGAATGCTCTTCAAGTACGTAGAATCATGGACTGTTAGATCTAAAGCAGCCTTCCCATCATCTATGGAGTGACCAGATGGGTTAAATCGGTCGCCTCCAAAGGTTTTGTTCACCGACTTCTAGCACTAAAGCATTATTCAGCACGCCCTCCCCGTATGTGCATATTTATTCATTTATAAACAATCTATGTATTCTACCACACTAATATATAATGTGCACTCTAAAAATACATACATAATTAGACATTTTAAAAGTACAAAGAAAGTTCTAATGTGTTCTTCTTGGACCCCACGGTGGGTCCTTTTGACCACACCATGAAAGTGTACGCATGTAACTTTGGAATCCACTGGACAAATGAGGAGAGCTGAGGCCCAGAGAGACAAAGCAATTTGCTCAAAGCCACACAGCTGGTTGGCGAGGGAGCTGACACACCAGCCCGGGATCCCTGCTTCCTGACGATGTGTGTGATCCTGGACTTTGTTCTGTATCACTAATCACTTCAGTGATTCTCACATTCGTCCCACTGTGTTCTTAGTTTATTCCAGATGCATCGAGAGCTTTTTTTTTTTTTCTTCTCTTAAAGCTCTTTTCAAAAAATTTTTAATTTCTGTGAGAAGAGACTTGAGAGAGTGGGTATAGATTTCCTTCACATAACAATGTGAGAAATAATAGAGCGGGATTGTATGTCACAGATGAAAATGCTATATTTATGCCTCATTGTAATCCATTCATTGCTTTATGGATCCAAAGTCCCCTTGGGAGTGTCACAAATCCACATAATGTTCCTGAGTGCCGGATTTGGCATTTGGATCTCTGATTTAGCTGTCAGATATGTAAAATCACATGTAGCCAGACAACTCCCCAGGGACTCCACAGCTGCGAACGCTGAAGAGTGCAAGTTATTCCAACAAGGTCGGCATTAATTTACGCACAGATACTGTTCCCCTTGAGCTGCCCTTTTGCCGCCCCATCTAATTTTAAGTGTGGCTCAGAGGGCTCTGCCAGAGTGACTCCGGCAGATTTTCTTCCCGGGGACTTTTCCAAGCCCAATGGAGGTGACTTTTAAAGGGGTCACATGCCTTTAAAAGAGACAACAGTTATCCCAGGGAGCCTGATCTTCTGAGGCGCCCGCACAGCTCTGCTCACCATGGGCCCCTTTTACCTTCTTGCAGCTTCCCGGGCTCCTTCACGCCTTGGCCGGGCTCTAAGAACCCCATGCACCATGCACCCCATGTACATGGCTGCCTGGCTGGCCCTGCCTCTGGGCCAAGTGACAATTACCTCAGTATCATCTCCTATGTCCAGATTGGCTCTAATCAGTGGCCAATGAAAGCGGTAAATGCGTACTAAAAACATTTTAAAAGAAAAATAAGCTGGCAGGTATGTCATCGTTCCCCTCAACACTATTTTACTAAGTGAAAAGCTGACTCAAATGGTCTCTCCGCTGCCTTCGAAATCTGTAGGAGAGAGAATGAGGAGCGTAGCATCAGAAGAACCTGGATTTAAGACCTCTCTCTGCCAGTTAGTCACTGAGGGGCCTTAGCTCAGAACAGGTCAAGACATATTGGTAAAATTGTGCAAGCTATTGGACTTTACTGAGCTCAAGTTTTATCTGTAAGATGGAGATGGCAATAACTGTTTTGCAGGACTGTTGTGTGGCGATTCATGCATAATAAATATTGTGTAAATGAACTATTAAATAGAATTGAATAAGAAATAAGAAATGTCGGGTGCCTGGGTGGCTCAGTTGGTTAAGCAACTGCCTTCAGCTCAGGTCATGATCCTGGAGTCCCGGGATCGAGTCCCACGTCAGGCTCCCTGCTCAGCAGGGAGTCTGCTTCTCCCTCTGACCTTCCCCCTCTCATGTGCTCTCTCTCTCTCTTTCATTCTCGCTCTCTCAAATAAATAAATAAATAAAATCTTTAAAAAAAAAAAAGAAAGAAGAAATGTCTACATTTTAATAAATGTCTAGATTTTTTTATTTATTTCAGGGGGGAGGGGCAAGGGGGGAGAGAGAGAGAGTGTCTTA